ACTCTCAACTCGAACCTTGCACAGGCGAGGCCGTGGCGCTTTACAGCTCTCAGAAGTCCACTAACAAGAAAAACAGAGTGCGCAGCATTCGATCTTTTTCTTGAGCTAAAAACATTCGAAGCAAAACGAAACGAGACAAAACGAGTGCGGTCACTAACCTGATTCAAAAGCAGTTCTTCCATTTGAGGCAGACCGAAAAACCTGTGTTGCGGGAGCGGCAGCGGCACGGGTCTGTGTTGCGCAGAGATGTGGATTTGCTGAGCAACAAAGTCGGTTGGAGCGCCTGCTGCGAGCGATCTTTTTTTTGTCGGTTTGTGACAGCGGATGCAACCATCCTGCGCAAAGACACACGCAACCATGAAGCAAAAAAGACCCGATTTGACGATGGAACTGACTCAGAGAGCAAAAAGAAATTGAAGCAGAGGTGCAATCTCCGAGAACAGCGAAAAGTGCAGTTTGGTCTTTTGAGGGAACGCAACCACTGGTCTAGCAACAGCAAATGCAATCAGAAGCAAGGCAGAGGCAAAGAATGTTGCAAATGGGTCTCTGCTAAAAGAGCAAAAAAAATCTGGCGAGAGCCAGGTGAGCCCATGTCGTGCATGAGGGGTTTTGGAGTTAAGCACCGTGCACAAATTCCGAACCGTCAGCCACACCTCTCGATACCATAACTCTACACAGCTCAAGAAGTCCTGTTCAGATCTGGTGGAGATACCTTCCAGAAAATTCCGCCGCTCTTGTATGATCTGTTCCGGCCCACCTTCTCGATACCATAACTCTGCATGGCTTGATCTGCTCTGTTCAGAAATGCTAGAGTCACCTCTGGCAAAAATTCTCTGTCTTTGTACGATCTCAAAGCTGCACAGTTATGGGGCTGTCGGGCGACCCCATTTTAAGGCCCGCAAAACACAAGCAATTCTGGCTTCGCGAGGTCGGCCCTCCACAGTTGCATTCCGCTGGCTGCAGCACTATTAAGGGCGAGCAACACAGCTGCTTTGGACAAGTTCCGACCTTCCAAACGGTCCTCCACCAGACGCTCCCCAAAGTCAATACAATCAATGACATGCGCAGCTGACGAGATTCAGCCGCTGTGGGTGCAGGAATCAAACTTGCGACCCCAAAAATGGGGCCGTCTCGCGGCCCCAAAAAAGGAGCCGCGAAATCCAGTCAACCTCCTTCAACATATTTTGACTGGCAACCAGAGGACCCCAAAATCGGGGCCGCTTGGCGGCCCCTATTTTGGGGTCGCGAATTCCTCATTTTGGGGCCCAAGCCCAAGCCCGTGCGTTCCACACTGCTACATCAAGGCGACTCGCCCACAGGCAGGCATCCAGTGTGGAAAAATCGTTCTCCAACAAGAATTTCCAACAGACAGCTTGCCCGTGGAAGTGACAGACATGAGAGAACAGAGGGGGGCCACTCAAGCGAAGCCAAAATTGCTAAGCTTGTTCGACCCCACATTTGGAGCCGCGTGTGCTGCAGTTGGTTCGCACCGAAAGTGGACGTCGGCGGCACTGGTGGCCGAACACGTTCCAGACACAGCAGCCAGAACACTTCCACCTTTGAGTTGCAGGCGGACTCATGGGACCAAACAGGATCTGGTCCAAACAGGTCAAAGTCGATGCTTTCTCAGGCACAGGTACCTTCTGGGAGAACTCTCAACTCGAACCTTGCACAGGCGAGGCCGTGGCGTTTACAGCTCTCAGAAGTCCACTAACAAGAAAAACAGAGTGCGCAGCACTCGATCTTTTTCTTGAGCTAAAAACATTCGAAGCAAAACGAAACGAGACAAAACGAGTGCGGTCACTAACCTGATTCAAAAGCAGTTCTTCCATTTGAGGCAGACCGAAAAACCTGTGTTGCGGGAGCAGCAGCGGCACGGGTCTGTGTTGCGCAGAGATGTGGATTTGCTGAGCAACAAAGTCGGTTGGAGCGCCTGCTGCGAGCGATCTTTTTTTTGTCGGTTTGTGACAGCGGATGCAACCATCCTGCGCAAAGACACACGCAACCATGAAGCAAAAAAGACCGATTTGACGATGGAACTGACTCAGAGAGCAAAAAGAAATTGAAGCAGAGGTGCAATCTCCGAGAACAGCGAAAAGTGCAGTTTGGTCTTTTGAGGGAACGCAACCACTGGTCTAGCAACAGCAAATGCAATCAGAAGCAAGGCAGAGGCAAAGAATGTTGCAAATGGGTCTCTGCTAAAAGAGCAAAAAAAATCTGGCGAGAGCCAGGTGAGCCCATGTCGTGCATGAGGGGTTTTGGAGTTAAGCACCGTGCACAAATTCCGAACCGTCAGCCACACCTCTCGATACCATAACTCTACACAGCTCAAGAAGTCCTGTTCAGATCTGGTGGAGATACCTTCCAGAAAATTCCGCCGCTCTTGTATGATCTGTTCCGGCCCACCTTCTCGATACCATAACTCTGCATGGCTTGATCTGCTCTGTTCAGAAATGCTAGAGTCACCTCTGGCAAAAATTCCCTGTCTTTGTACGATCTCAAAGCTGCACAGTTATGGGGCTGTCGGGCGACCCCATTTTAAGGCCCGCAAAACACAAGCAATTCTGGCTTCGCGAGGTCGGCCCTCCACAGTATAGTGCAGATACCCACCATGAATATAGAAGATGGAGTGCGTTCACCTCTACAAATGTTAAATCTAACCTAACCTAAGCTTATTAAGACCTAATCTCTAAGTTTTAATACAATCAAAATGTATATTACAAACATATGTAACATCTACAAGAAGACGTTTCAATATATACATATATATATATATATCTATATGGTTACAAATGATTTAAAATTTCATGTATCTTACATATTGCCAATCCAATCGAAACAAACCAACACAGATCAACAAAACTATAGTATCATTTCACTCTCCTTATGTGCCATATTCACATAAAAATGCAATGTACCAATGTTTGTGTATATATATGTAAATGTATATGTATATGTATATGTATATGTATATGTATACTTATACGTATACGTATATGTATAGGTATATGTATATGTATACGTATACGTATACATATGGGTATATGTATATGTATATGTATATGTATATGTATATGTATATGTATATGTATACTTATACGTATACGTATATGTATAGGTATATGTATATGTATACGTATAGGTATACATATGGGTATATGTATATGTGTATGTATATGTATATGTATATGTATATGTATATGTATATTTATACGTATATGTATATGTACATGTATATGGGTATAACCAACAAACGAACAAATAAGTTCACGACATAACGTCATAAATACGTGACTATATGTATATAATTCATATCCAAAAGTATGGGTAAATAGATAGATATTAAAAGAAGTAGAAAAGTGTCCGCAGCACAGAGAACATAATGTACAATAACGTAGAAGTATATTATATACACATATGTATATGTACAGCATTGAATATAAGTATATGTATTTTCAAATACAAAACAAAATATGCAAACTGTGTCCAATAAAATGTAGTATATAATGTACAATGTAGATCGTAGAAATTTTTTAATGCACAAAACATGTTAGTTCATATATAGAAAATATCATATTATAGAATACAATATATATGTAGTATAATAGATGTCATTCAATACATAGAAATCAGCATATAGCATATGAAATATACTATATCCTAAATAATGAAATATACTTTATGATATATAGCATGCAACATAGAATACATAATGTAAAATGTGCTACTACTCAATGTAATGCATGTATATATATATATATATAGATGTACGCATAGAGTACACCACCAACCTGACAGAAAAAAAACACTCAGTTTGACTTGCCCCACCGCCTCCTGCCACCCCCCCGGTTCAACTCACTTTGTTGAAAAAACGCTTTTGTCGTCCTTGAGTCCCTGGCCATCCTCCCCTGACCCTTCTCCTCAACATCCAAAATACACGCTTTGGGTAGCTTGAACAAGATGACCAATCTGATCAAATTCTGATCAAATCTGATCAAAATCTGATCAAACCTGATCAAATCGTGGTTTGATCAGATTTGATCGGTGACTCGTGCGCGTGCATGCGTTTGGCTTCGGTGCACTGCACCACGGTCGGCAAAACTTTCAGACCGTTGAGGTTAATTAGATGCTTAACAATCGGTCGCAAGTTGAAGTTCAATTCTTTTCCATATTTTTATCATCGCTCGCAAGGTATCTGCTCAAACTTCGCCGCCGATGTTTGCAATGTTCTGACAGGAGTTGGTTTTCCAAGCAGTGCCACGCTGATTGCTGTTGTTGAGGATTGGAAGCTGAGACACATATACCATGTAACTTGAACGTCGAAAGTTCGTCACGGAAGTGTGCCACAGTGAGTTGAAGATATCGAAACACACGGCCTTGCATTGCTTCCGATGGCGGATGTGGATGAGACGCCAGTCTGGACATGAATGCGCATTCGGCTCTTCCGAGGGCTTCGAAGCATTAAGCAACGTGAGGTTGTCCGCATGCGCTGGAATGATAATTTTGGTATCTGATGGTTAGTACTCCTTTACCATTCCGAGTGCGTCGTGGTAGTACCCTGATAATTCTTTGTTACTCGTATCATACAAGTCGTTAGTTTTAGTTATGTCGGTTATGCATACTGTTGTTGCTGTTGTTGTCGTCCGTTATTTTATGTTTATTATCATCATCAGGATTAAATTTGTAGATACGGTCCTGTTGTGAGTATTCGTATCAACATAGTTGTTCTTAGTAATATTAGTATTTTTCATTTTGTTTTTTTCTCGTCGTGCCAACTCACATTTACATTTAGAGTCTAGGAGAAGAGTCCACTACGTTCACACAAAGATTCAGATAGAGATGTTGAAGTGTGCTACACGGTTGCCGCTTCAGTGTTGTGGTTTCGGTCCTAGGTATGTACAAGTTGCAACAAAGCTCCCACCCACCCCAAGTTCGAATCGTTCAAACCATAAGTTTATGCACGCTTATGTTGTGGCTTTTTACCCAGGATATGGCGGGAGATGCAACTCGAGCAGCCCAAGATCAGTGCCAAGCGGGCCGCAGTCAAGGCAAAGGTTGCCGCGGTTTTCGTCGTGGACTTTCCGACGTGACCTGAGATGCAAACCATGCAGGCCGTCAAAGATTTGAGCCTCCTGCAGAAGGAGAAGCCCAAGCAAAAGCAGCTTGGTATCCTCCAGAGTTCATTCATGCAAAGATTGCAAGTGCCGTTCAGCGTGCACAAAAGCAGCCCGCATGTCAAAGCCATATATTCCTTTCGTAGGTCGAAGTGAGAGAGTGAGGAAGAGTGCTGGCAAACAGCTCGATTCGACACTCAATTGGATGCGGGACTGGTCAACTGGCCTTGTCGTGGGGCAGCAGAAGGCGGGAGCAAGCAGATGTTGCAATGCATCCTCTCCACCCGAGTATGCGAAACCCACCTCTCCTCGACTTTACAACTTGATTCCTTGATGCGTTTTGGTTTCAATCTGTTTTGCCCACGGTCCGTGCATAAATTAAAGCCGATCCGAAGAACAAGGCCCACCAGAACGCAACGAGATCCAGAAGCAGTTTTAACAGTGGACGAAGTTCTGCATCGTCAGGGTGTTTTGGGTAGAAACGTCAGCTGCACGTCAGGACTCGGACTTTGGCGCTTCCGCGATGGCGGGGATTGTCGAGGAGGGCAGCCATCAAGACAAAATATCACCTCTAAACCCGACACCCTAATTGGAGTAGGAGCATGAAGTGCAAAGAAGGCCAGGAAGAAGGATGCGGACTATGGGAGGATATCTTCATGGGTGACGCTAGCCTTAAACCCAAGGCCCTTACCCCGAAGCCTTAAACCCGAAAACCGACAGCCTGCCTGCTCAGAGGAAAGGGATGCTTAGACTAAACCTTAAACCCTAAACCCTTAACACCCTGCTTTGAAAGCAGAAGGACCTCACCGTCGCCGCGCCGCCCACGACCATTCTGGACACTCGAGAGGAGCTCCCTACAGGCTCTGAAGCGTTGAGGATTTAGGGTGCAGGGTTCCCAGAGTGCCCAATACACCTCAATTAAGGAACATACCTTAAATTATGAGGGGCTGCATGTTATGATTTAATCCATATTTAAGGGGTATTGTGCTCTCTGGGTTCTTGGAAAAGGGTTTGGGGTGTAGGGTTTGGGGTGTAGGGTTTAGGGTGTACGGGTTTAGGGTTTCGGGTGCAGGGTTCTTTGAAGCAGGGCCGTGGTACATGTGTCTGAAATATGGATGTTTACAAAACATGCCCTTGGAAAGTTCCCCGAACCCTGAACCCCACACCCTACAGCCTCATGCAGGAAAAGGCCCCATTGCACTTTAGAAAAGAAACCCAAACCCTGAATCCGAAACCCTGAATCCGAAATCCTGAACCCGAAATCCTAAACCCTACATCCTAAGCCCTAAACCCGGAGTGCGAAGCCCTAAACCGGAGGTGGTGCTATCCGGCGCGGGGTTGCAAGAGGCGTTTCGGTAAGATCTGAAACCTCCGGCTTAAGGTTTAGGGGTTTAGGGTTTAGGGTTGAGGGGTTTAGGGTTTAGGGTTTAGGGATCTGAAACCTGCGACCAACAAAGACTTCCTTGCACACTTTCTGCAAGTAGGGAGCTGTCTTGAGACCTAGATTTTTGTGGCGAAGACGGCAGTTGTGGCTGTACATCCCGCAGGCACACCGGAAACTTTTCTGGCATACATCCAGCGAGACATCAACTGCCGCTGGCCTCAGCCAGTCTGCAGTCTCCTGCAACAGTTCACGGTTACCGCGTGAGGTTCGGTAACCCCTAAAGTCGTAAACACTCAAAGCCCCAAGCCCTACCCTAAACCTTCGTTTTTCAGCACAGAGCCACCTGAAGGTCGAAGCTCCTAAGTTTGACGGAATAGTGCTGGCATGTTGGAAGACGAGCCACGGTCGCTCATGCCTATAGACCACCGATAATCTGGTAGTTGTGTGTGTCTTAGAATTATTATCATCATCAGCATCAGCATTGGTGGGATCAGTGTGATTATGACTCTTACTTGTATTACTCTTGTTTCTCATGTTAATGTTCTAGTTTCTAGTTCTTGCCATAATTGCGAGATGATTTTCGGTAGTGTTCTGTTATCCTGAGACGCCAGAGGCCTGTCTGAGGACACGATAAACGTCCGCCTGCAATCGCTTCAGAAGCTGCGTGGCCGCAGCGGTGACTATTGTAGTTTTTGATCGGATGACAGTACGGTCAGCTTCAGTTGATGGGTCAGGGTTATCGGAGTTTGAGGGGTTTGGGCTTTATATGGCATTATGGTCATAGCATCACGGCCTTCAGATTCAAAACACTGAAGGTTTGCATGGAACAGGTGTTCCCCGAAAGGGTCCCCAAACCCTATAGGCCCTAGCCTAGACCCAAAACTCTCAGCAAGACCCTTCCCTGACAGGCCGGGGATTTCCGCCCTTTTATGCTTAGACTTTACAGATTCGGGGATGTCATACGCACCCCAAAGAGGCTTAAGGTTCGGGGGACCTGCCCGAGCCGAGCTCCGAGCTCTTTCGCAGGATTTCAGACATCACTTAGAAGCTGCCCCCACCCTGTAATAGTGACTATAAGGATTATAGTAGGGCCCTATTATATTCCTATTATACCACTATTACAGGGTGGGGGCAGCTTCTAAGACATCACCCTTCTAGGCAAAGAAGGCCCCAAGCGCACAAAGCAGAACGTCGGAGCAGAAAGCGAGCACCCCTCGCCAGCGACGACAGCAGTCAAGGCAGAATGCGTTTGCGAGCATGGTCTGTCATGAGATGCTGAAGATCGAAACGAAAGATCTGCGTTCTTTGCCCTAAGCTGCAGAAGAAGACGGCCCGATCCTAGATCCGACTCCCCGGTGTCAGGTTGGAGCGGATCCTGGTGCGGCAGGGTGTGCCTTGCCTCAGTTTGAGGGTTTGTGCAACTGCCATAACAAAACTTTATAATATCCACGCTTATTCCTTACGTAGACACATACATATATATATATATATATATACACACACACATACTAGACATGATTTTTGTTAAATACATACACATACACATACATGCTGTTTTGGTATGTACACATTCATTCGCAAGGGATCCTACAACCACGATCCCGTCCCCCGAATCCTCGTCGCCGGGTCACTCGGTTCTTCGAGGACATCCTAGCAACAGACGTCGTGGACGCTGTCTTCGACGCGATGCTCAAGCCGCTTCTGAAGCGGCTGAAGGACCGATCAAACCCCAGTCCATATACCCTATACGGTGCCACAATGGACCCCTCGCATACGCTATGATCCGCTATGAAGGCCTGGTGCTGCGAGTGATCTGGATCGAGCCTTGCAAGGACAAGAGCGAGAAGTGTCGCGAGCTGGCCGTGAAGATTCTCCGCAGTCTGGTGGAGAATACCTCGGACCTCGCCGCCGCACTGCCAGGGCCCCGGAGCTTAGGATGGTTCCTGTCGCCTGTCGCAGGGGCCCACGGCACATCACCTTCGCAGTTTAACCCAAGCCTCCCAAAGGTCTCTGACAGTTGGAGGAAGGGGAGACACAAGAGGGTGAACTTGCTGACCGGAGGCCCTACGTTTTTCCGACGCTGGTGTCCCGCCTGGGCTGCGAGGCGATTTGCGGGGGCCGGGAACATCGAGAGTCGAAGCCTCCGTAGATGCTTGACTGAGTACAGCTTGATGCTGCGCCACCTGCAACTCTGACCCAGGACTTAGACGGTGTTGCGCACCTACCGGAGGCCGGGAGGAACATGTCTCGGGTGTTTGGGAGTGAGGCGCTCCATGATATGGCGTCTTTCGGGTTCCGGATGATGCTCATCCCGCCGGCAGACCACGACCACAGCATACCACGGCCACGTCGGTACTGGGTACTTCGCACTCGGTACTAGATATTACGTGCGATGCTTCGTGTGAGTGTCTCTCCGAGATTCTCCGAGTCGGGTCTTTGCTTGGCTCCATGCTGATGTAAAGATCAGAGTCAAAGAAGGGGACCCTGCTTCGGAGAGCAAATCTTTCTAAAAAAAAGCAGCCGCCGAAAGACCCTAAACCGTCAATCCCGAAGTGCTTCAACCCCTGAGCCAAGCCCCTAGATGCCTAAACCGTCTACCCTGACCCCGAACCCCGAAATCCTAGCACTTCTAGACACCCCTCCACCCTCAAAGAATTTACAACTTATCGACTGCCAGCCCCAAAACTGTACTCCCAAAGCCCATCTGAAAGATGACCCTAAACCCTAAACTCCTAAATCCTAGATACTACGATACTACACCCTCAAAAAGCAAGATAAGAAAGGAAGCCCCCGAACCCTAATAAGCCCCACGCCCCCAAAATCGAGCAACACCGTAAACCTTAAACCCTAAAGCCCTAAACCCCAAAAGCCTAAACCCTAAACTCCTAAACCCTAAACCCCCCTAAAAAACCCCTACACCTCTAAAACCCCTACGCCTCTCAACCCTAATGAATTCCTAAACCTCCAAACCCTGCGCTCTCAGATCATGCGGCCGGACCCGGAGCAGAAACCGACGGAGATCGCTCGGCCGGTGGAGGCCAAATCCCTTCATGAGCTTTTAGGGGGGTTAGGGTTTAGGAGTTTATTAGGGTTTAGGGGTTTTGGGTTTCGGAGTTTAGGGTCAAAAATGGTAACCTACATGCTAAACATATTGGGGAAAAATGTGTTTCCCAATATGTTTGGTTTTTTTCAAATATGGTACCCTAAGTAGTGGGCTTAGGGTGTAGGGTTTAGGGTATTCTGTGGGAGTTTCCGACAATAGGGAAGCCTAATATGGTACCCTAAATAGTAGGATCCTGACAAAAAGGACCCCAAATAAGGTACCCCCCATTTTCGGTTTTCGGACTCCCTTCTGACTTTTCTTGTTCGTGTATTTATTCATTCAGATTTTCTTGATGTTGTGTTCTTATCATTATTGTTGTTGTTTGTTACTATAGTTGATTTTTTTCGCGGGTTGCCTTTCAAGGGTTACCTGAAACGGTTATTTCGGGGTTAACTATTCGAGTTACAACGAGGGTTCTTTTTCGGCTTACTTGCAGGGTTCCTGCAAGGGGTTATCGAAAGAGTTAGTATAGGGATGTAGTGATTTAATAGTGGGGGTTGGTGGTTGAGGGTTGCAGGCTTTTTCGGGGTTTCAGGTTGAGGGTTTCGGGGCCAAGGGTGTAGGGGTTCAGGATTTTGGGGGGTTCAGGGTCCGGAGCAGGTGTTCAGGGCGGACTTGCAGAGATTCTACGGTTTTCGAGATCCATCCTGCCTCATCTTCAACAGTATTCAGGGTTTAGAATTCCGGGGTTCATTTCGAGTTGCTGTGCAGGGTTTCTTGCATTCGGCTTTGGTGCATTGTGAGATGGCTCGTGTCGACAAATTTAAGTCGCAGCTCGTCGCACCTAGATGGTGTGAGCACTGGTTTAGCTTCAATCGTGTGTATCTAAGAGAACGAATTACAGGAAGTTACACAGGAAGCATGCTTTTTGGGAAGTTTCCGACTGGAGCTCCGAAAAAGCCCGACGCCTGAGCTTTCCTTCTTTTCAGGACAGCGAGGAGGTCCGCTTGGAGCTGGGCCACTTCGTCGCCTCGCTCCTCCAGCGGCCGGGGCCTCCACCTCTTTTCTCCTTTGTTTGGTTCAGGGTTTAGGGCTTCTGTGGACGGGGGGACGGCACCTTGCTGCGGGCCGGAAAGTTGAGAGGTTGCACGAAAGCGTTATGAGGAGTGTTCCAGACATACTAGCAGCTCCGCCTGGATGACAAAGGTGCAGCCCGATCCAGATCTACTCCTACATTGATGAGGCTCGAAGCTTCTGGATGTCGCTGTGAGGCTCTAAGCTCCAGGCACAGCTCAGACAGGTCCTTAGTTGCCGATCCTGCAGGCGTGGTATGCCCCCCGGTATGAACGTGCCAGTTTGTCACGTCAGGCGACAGGTCTCATCCGCGCCCAAGCGATGGATCCTTTCCATGGAGTCAAGGCAGGGGCAGGAAGCTTGTCATCTGCAGTGGAAGTTGCGACGGCGTACTATCCTCATCCCAGTGGCGCAGTGACTGCCTTTAAAGTCCCCGGGTCAGAAGGGGAGGTGCCTCGTAGGTGTAGCCGCGCACTGCAGGCCCTGGCTTGCGACACCATGGTGACCTTCTGCAGCTCGGCGAGCAGCTTCTGTCCGATGAGAGTTCCCGCGGTTTCCTTGCAACCATGCAACTAACTGGGCTGTGGATTTTGGGCAATGCATGTAGCTTAGACGCCAGAGCCACTACAGTGTCAAGTTTTTTCAGTACACCTGAGACCACACCTGCAGACCTGGCTGTTGCAATCGTGCTGGATCTGCAGGCTACAACAACAGAGAGATGTTGCTGCACTTTGCGCTGCCGCTGGCCCGCGCACTGACGTGCCCAGATGGAAAGGGTTTTGCCAAAGACTTTCATGTTTGGCGGGGTATGGGTTTCGACGATTTCGGTTTGAATGAGTCGTGTCCGCCGATTGAGTACAGGGTTCTTGGGTCCTGGCAGCCTATCAGCTTGCAATGTAACCCTACTTGGACTCCCTTGAAAACGTGCGTGTTTGTTTAGGCTTTGACAGTGGTAGGAGGTCGTGGTAGTGGCTGCCTCGAAAAATCCACAGCATTCACTGGCTGAAGAAGCTCTCCTGGAAAAGGTCCTGCCTCACGCACAACCATGCCAAGCTGCGGATCGCTGGCTTGCGCGCGATCACCGCTTGCCTCTTCTGTGGGGTCTGGCTCTCAGGCTTTGCATGGAGCGTACTGAGACCATGGGCTCCCGAAAAGGCCATGGAGCCTTGCGCAGTTCTCGAGGTGTGGAAGCACAACTTCGAGATTTTCGAGGTGCTCATGGCATGGCAGGACCCAAACAAGGCGAGGGTTTCGGAATTTGTGATTTTATGGGAGTTTTTACCTGGGTTTGGTTTTAGGGTTCAGGGACCGGCGTGCAGATTAGGCCCTCCACCCTCGATCACCACCATCGCTGACAGGTTCCGATAAAGGCGTTCTACGAGGGCGTAACGAATGCATCTCGTCTCTCTGTGAGGGCAGCAACGGAGGCTCTTGCTTGCGTAGGATTCCCTACCCATCGACACGGAACCGTCGATGGGATGTGATAGGAAGTTGGGTGTTCTAAAAGAAAGAGCGGGTTCCAGACGAGAAGCCTGCTCAACGTACGACCAAGGTCAACTACATGTCCACCTTGAGTTTCGATCGCCACCCGGCAGTGCGCCGGTTTTGGTTCGAAACACTGGCATACTGGATGATACGATGTGTGGACAAGGCCTGGCTCCAGCTTTCGGTCTTAGAGAGACAGAAGCGCAGTGCGGGACTCAACCCCAGTGACTCAGCCCTGACCCCCCTGGACCCTAGACCTGAAACCACGAAGGCTGTGGCTCTTTGTGCTTGGATGCACGGAAAAAAAGGGTGCTAAAGAAGAGCAAGACGTGATAGCTGAAAATCTTAAAACCTATTATTTACCTGAAGCCTCAGCTCCCAAACAGGTGGACCTGGAGCCGTACATAGCTCCCTACCTGCTGACGGGCTTGTGCGACGAGAATGAGGACCAAAGCCTTGACCTGAGGACCTAAAGACCCTAAGCCCCGAACCCTAAGCCCTAAAAACCCTAAACCCCGAAGCCTGAGCCTCGAAAACCCTGAACCCGGAACCTCCGAGAGCCCTGAACCCAAGAGAACCCAAGTGGTCCTAAACTCCTAACCCGAAACCCTGAACCTCCAAAACCCTGAACCCGGAACCCTTAACGTCCCAGACTCTGAACCCGAAGCCTTGCACACCCTAAAGCCTCCCTTAACCCCACGTAACCTACCTTTTTAAGGACTTATATAAATCATATTCGGGAACCCTAAAAATAAGGTAGGTTCCTTCGGGTCCAGGTCTTCCCTAAACTGAGAAGGAGATCGCCTTGGAGGTCTTCTGGCTCATCGAGCGCATCGGTGAGGCCTACGAGGAGGAGCACGAGGAGGACACGGAGAGTTTTTCGGGTGCATATTAGGGTTTAGGGTCCACCGACAAATGCCGACACTTGGTTGTTTTTGGAGTTTTGGGTTTTAGGGTTTTAGGTTCAAGATTATTGTTTGGGTTGGGGTTGGGATGTCTTTGAGGAAAATCATGAACTAAACTTTCACGTTGCTTCCATGGAAAGACCTCTGCTAGTTTCTGGGGTTTGGTGTGGGCCTTATTGAGATTCCCATGTCTGGCACATTTTTGGGGTTCCTTATCTTCCTTGTTGTAATTATGTTAAGGCCCTATAGCATCTGAAAGGCCCCACTATGCCTGTCGAAGTCAATGTCTAGCGGCAAGGCGTAGGGCACCGATGCGCCCTGACAGGACCTGCGGAAAACGAAGCAATACGGCGACTTGCTCCGATGATTCCGTCCTATGCAGACGATTTGTCACTTTGTCCGGCGCTTCCCTGGGCTGATGCCAGAACCAGAAAGCTTAGGAAGCGTAGAGCTTGTAGCTGGTAGACCGCAGCGTTGAGTGCTTGAGCACGGGATCTGCTTTCTGCTGGCTCAGAGGTTTTGATTATACCTGGACCTACAGCGGGCGTGCGTTTGTGCCGTTTCCGCTCCAGGCGGGAGCACGCAAGCTGCCAGGGTTTTCAGCTCCTTGATTCTTCTAAGCTGCCGTGCAGGGCATCTGGGGCGGCGGCTCCTCCGTTCCGCGGCACATCAGGTGCCTTGCAGGGCTTCGGGGGCCGCACACTCCCTGGTGAGAGCAGGCAGCGTGAACCCTCACAAATCCCGAAGCCTCTATACCCTTCACCCATCACCTGTAAGGCGATGACAGCTCTAAAGTCAGCTTATACTCAGGAAGGGATCTCTACAGACACGCTTCGTACAACCCTTATAAGAACCCTGAGCCCATGCAAGCACCCCTGGGACAGCCGCTACAAGAATCCTCCTGAAAATCGTTGCGGGACTTTAAGTAACAACCCTAAGATAATCTAGCAAAAGCGCTGGAAGGAACCGTGACAAAGCCCTGGCACCATTCAAAAGCACTTGGAGGAAACCTCATGAACCCCCTTTATACCCTTGTTGCAAACCCTTGAGCAAGAAACCCAAACTACCTGGGGCCCCCGGAACATTCTTGCAGGCGCACCGGCGCCCAAGGACCCGATTTTCTCGGCCACCGCCCGCTACCCGAGCATCAGCATCGGGAGCGATGCCCTTTGTGTGCGTGTGTGTTTTTTCTTTTTGCTTGAGTGGGGGTTAAGGGGTTAAGGATATGGGGGGCTTGTGGAGGTCTTACTAGTATCAGTGTTAGGGGTGTTAGGGATGCTAGCGGTTTCTCAGGGTTGGCTTAGTTAGGGCGTGAAATCGTTGGGATTTTTCAGGGCTTGTTGGGCTTGGCAAGTCCCTATTTCGGAGTTACAGTGCCTTTTCGGTTTCAGAGAACGAGGTGGCCCTTGTTGAGAAATTTCTCGGCTCCCGCTTGTATGATTGTATTCTGAACCCGAACACCTGCATGATCCCAAGCCCTGAAACCCAAACTCCAAACGCCAAGCCCGAAATCCTGAACCCCTGAAATTCCCATGTCGAAGGAGCAGTTGGCAAGCGAGGTCGAGGATCTTGACGAGGATCCAGCGATATGATGTCGCGCGTGGGCAGAGTTTTCCTGAACTACTCCGGCGCATACTACGTCTATTTTTTTATCCCGCAGCCTGGGATTTGTAGTATATGCAAAGCTGCGATCTCGGGGTTGCGACTGTAGGAGAATCCCACGATCCGAATCTTCATAAGTTGAGATTGACAGGGCCTGAGGTGACGAACGCGCACAGGGTCCTTGTGGCAACACAGCGCATCTCGAGCATGTGCGTGACATCCGCATGTCTCTTCATCCGCGGCCCTGCGAATTCGACTTAGTGTGTGCCCCGCACCATGGAAGCTTTTGCACTCGCTTCGTAGCCGCGACGACCTTCGAAGTGGAAGCCTTCTCCCTAAACCCTGAGCGCTAGCTCCCCGAACCCTAAGGGCCTTCAACCACATGCTTTTCCTAGACCTGAAGCTGCAAGAGCCAACACCCCAAAGGCCCTACAGTCCCTGAAGTCCCTAAAGGCCCTAAAGTCCCTAGAGAACCCCAAACTTGCCCCGAAAAGGCCCCCTTAGGGCCCCTCAACCCTAAACGTCCCTTAAAGAAAGCCCTAAGCCGGCCCCCAAAGCCGGCAGGAGGCCACGGACTCGCAGGACCGCCGGGCCTTGGGGACGCGGGCGGAGCTCCCGAGCCGCCCCTCGGCCGCTCCTGTCGGGAGCAGGGGGAACGGGTTACAGGGACTACTGCAAGAGACCCTTGATAAGGGACTGTCATAGGGATCCTTTCCCCCTTCCCTACCAAGAACCAGGTAGTCGTAGAGTTGCAGGGTTTGGGGTTTGGGGTATCCTTAAGGGAGTTCATATGGCGTCATATGGGCTAGCAAAAGTAAAGGGTCTAGGGGTACGAGGTCAGCGGGGCTTCTAGGAGGCCATCTTGCTGCTGTTCCGATCTTAGGTGACAGTTGCTGGCCAGATGCTTGGCGGCAGCTGAAACTCTGCGATCTCGGCACCTGATGGGTTAGTAATAGCATTGACAGTAGTGCTGGTATTGGTATTCGTATTAGTATTAGGATTAGTATGCTGAGCTGTAAGTCATTAAAACAGTGTCGCCTGCCGCCCGAGGAGTTTCGGGATCTGGCTGTTTACCGCCGGCTGCCGCGGCCACGGCTGGGCTCGCGATCCTGGGTTGGACCCCAAGTGCACTCCCTTCGCAGTCGGGGCTTAGTAGAAGGTGCTGGCTTCGGGGCATGCCGTTGAGTCGCCGACCGACCGGAGAAACAACGGAGAGGGTTCACGGGTCGCCGTTGCCGAGGTGCGAACCCACAGCCGGCGCTTCATCAAGGTCATCTCCCTGCTTTTTCTGGAAAGTTTCAGCAGCGGAATAGCTTGGGGTAAGTTCGGAGTTGGGATTTCGGATGAGGCAGGTTTCGGAGTGCGAACGAGTGCCGACCATAGGGAAAAAGAGATCAACGCGAACCGAGAGCCTTGCCTCCCAGCTAGCGACGAAGCAGAATAGATTTGATCCTCCTTGCTTTTCCTCGAGATCCCTGATACTTTTTCCTCAGGCCACCTTCAATGACGTCGTCGATTTTCGTGACTTGCGAAGAGTTGGAAGCCACTTCTTTGTTGCTTGGAACAGGCCCCCTGTTTTTCCCAGCTGTGGCACATAACCCTGCAAAGAATTCCCAACACCTTGCCGCCCGCAAAAAGCAGAGGAGCCTAAACCCTACCGATGGCAACAGTCGAGACCCTGCGGTTCGGTCAGGAGAGACCAAGAAAAGGAAGGACCCCTCACCAGCAGGAAAACCCAGATGATACAGCATAATATACTTTGTTATAGTGTGATGTAATATGTGCTAGTAGGCTCTGCAACACCTACAGGAAAGATGGGCCCCATCACAGCGAAAACCAGCGCCTCCGCCTTTCTGAAGGTGACTGCACGTCCTTGAATGCTGGCCGCCTGCTGTGTATGTCCCTAGCCTACACCGAAGAAGGCGCCGGAGGGAGAGGGGTCCCACTACCCCTCGTTCCACCTGAAGCATTCACAGAAGAGCGTTTGTTTGCCAGGGGTCACCGAGTGGCTGCAGCCCATGATGGCGGCGCTGGTCAAGCCCCTCATCTTCTCAGTCCGTAAATCTTCAAGAGCCCGTAACCGACATTCACAGAGAGGCCTACACCCAAAACCCTAAATGTAACGTGGAACATTAAACAGGACAGCCCTGATCCCCAAAAACAGCAGAGGAAAGCCCTTAGAATACGTGCACCCCTAGTTTGGCCAAGGCCCTAAAACCTAAACCCCGAGCTCCATTCCGAACCCACACTAACCCGTTTTAGAAATGGTAATTCCTAAGCCATAAACACCGTTATCCTGAACGATCAACAACACAAAAGCTTCCTTTGCCGCTACCCACCCCCCGCCCCGAAAGACGCCCTTCGAGGTTCTACTCTGGCCGAGCCTGGGCAGCTGCGGATGCGAGGTGCCGGTTTTTGGTGATGTCTGGTGACCCCGTGGGCCTGGTAGGATTCAGAGCTCTAGCAGGCTTCTGGAGGGACGTAGTATAGGTGGATGTAGGCTTCAGGGTTTAGGAGTTGGGATTTATGGTCTAGTATATCGATGAATAGACCGATGGATAGATCTATCGGGAGATAGCTAAATAGATAGACCGATTGTCGGGTTCTATAAGGGCTCCTGGCAGCTATCAATAGTTGGTTTAGGGTTTAGGGTCCTGGGTATCATTTGAAGGGCCTCCTGGCAGCTATCTATTTAGGATTTCGGGTTTTGGGCTTTGTTTTAAGGGGCGCTTGGGGCTCGTTGGAGTGTTCTAGGGTTGTGATCTATGAGGGTTCCGTGAGGGTTTTAGGGGTGGATGAGGGTTCCGTAAGAGTGACTAGGGGTCAAGGGTCGAGTCCTGGGCTTTTTGAAGGATTCTGAGGTTTGAGGTTTCGGGGTATCCTCTTCAGGGCTCCTCCAAGGTGGTTTAAGGTTTTTGTTGTTTAGGGTTCATTTCGGAGGTGCTGCAGGGTTCAGGGTTTAGGGTTCAGGTCCTTATTAAAATAATGGTCCTACTATTTAGGGTATTTTTTTGGGGGTCCCCATTTTCGGGAACTCTCATCCAGGGCCATGCAGACCTACAGCACCGTCTGCAAGCTGCTCGGGGCTTTCCTGGAGCCAACTTCGCTCTGGACGCAGCTGAGGTGCAGGGACCTGCAGCCCAGAGCTGGGCTTTTAGGGTCTTGCGAGCTTCGAGGGAACCCTAAACCCCTAAACTTCCGCCTTCTGCTAGTGCGGATTCTACCGACCTGAACTGCTAGGTGGAAAAAGGTGCTCAGAAAAAATAGCTTCTGTAGACGGCTTTGGGTTTAAGGTTCAGGGCCCTGAAACATTCCGGTCTTCAAGGCTTTACCCGGGGTTTTTCGGAGAATCTCGGCCTGCAAGAGTTTCGGCTTTCTGGGCTTCAGAGGCCTTCGGGATCCAGGAGTTTTCTGGGTTGTTAAGGAACTCAACTTAATTTGGGAGTTTCCGAAAATTAGGGGTACCTTTTTTGGGGTCCTGATAGTAAGGATTAATAAGGATCCTATTATCTAGGGTACTATATTAGGGTCCCTTATTTTCGGAAACTCCCAGTTACCACAATAGGAAAACCATACTATCAACTGTAGTTATGGGGCATTCGTCTTAGAATCATTGCAATTATCGTTTTACCCAATGTTATTTTTTGCTAGTATTATTCGTCCTAGTGTTAGTGTTCGAATTCGTATTAGTCTTGGCATTGGTATGAGAATTTGGTATTCGTATGAGCTCCTAATATTAGTCTCAGTCTTCGTCTTAGTATCAGACTAGTTAAGGTATTAGCATTCGTATTGGCAGTGGTATTTATCCCTTTAGAAATTGGAATCGTTATTATTTCGTTGAGTTGCCATTCCTTATTCTGGCAACTGAAGCTCTGAGCCCCAAAAACTCGCAAGCCTCACGCACCCCAAAGCCCTGAAGCCCGAATGCTTCGAGCCCTTATCGAAACCTTTATATCGAGCCCTTGTCCCTGTCAACCGACGCCGACCCTCGTGACCCCCCTCGTCGATCTCCTGTTCATCCTCGGAGCTTCACTTAAACAAATTAAGGGTTCCTTTAACCTTTAAGGGGACCCTTTAAAGGAACCCTAAAGAGGGTTTTGACACAACGAGATCCAGCTGACCAACCTGACAGTGACGACCCGGCACCTGCTCGCTCCGATGTTGGTCCTGAACACCCGTGTGGTGATGATGCCCCCAGTGATGCTGATGAGGATGCCAGTAATCCCAGCAGTGGCCACTGTGCTCGTGATCGGAGTCGTAGCCGTGATGCCTGAAGAGTCTGTGCAACCTCGTTTACCAGACTGAAGTTGGAGGGCAAGCTTGAGGAAGGGATCTTTTGTTTGGAGTGCATGCTCTAACTGGAGCAAGCTCGAACTCTGCTGGAACAGGGGCTATTGCACTTGAAACAAAGCCAATCCCCCCAACAAACTCTATCCCCTAAACCCTAACCCCTATCCCCTTAAACCCCTAAGCCGTAAGCCCCAAGCACTGAACCATATGGAGCCTTGGTAGAACCCTTTTCTTAGCCCAAAGCCTCGCTGTAAGATTTGTTCATCTCGGCCTCAGGGGAGCCCTGGACGCAGACTCCACCATGGTGGCCGGACCTGAATTGAGAGTTCATTTTTGTTTTTTTTGTGTTTCTAGGCATTTAGCGGTTTTTAGGTTTTTTTTTTTGGTTTTAGGGGGTTTTAGGGGGTTTAGGGGTTTTTAGGAGGTTTAAGGGTTTGGGGATACTGCAGGGGTTCAGGATTTAGGGTCGGTGTACGGGGCACGGCAAAAGCCGGGACTTGAGTTTGTGGGCGGGTTTTGGGATTGGTTTAGGTCTCAGCGGTTAGGTCTCATGGCTTTTGGGTCGGGTGTTTAAGGGTTTGGGACTTAGGGTGGGCTTTAGGGCTTAGGGCTTAAAGTTCACCGTTCAAGGGGCAAGCTGATTGAAGTTTGGAGTCACTTGCAGATCCTGATCGGCTTGACACGGAAGCCTGCAAGACAAACCCCGACGACGAAGTACTGTCCTCATTGATTTGGTGCAAGTCGGAATGCTCGGCAACCCGAATGTTTGCTGCCTTCCTCTTTATGCACGAACTATCTTTTTCTCAAGATGCGAGAGCTGACCTCAAAGGTCCAGGTCAACACAGATCAAGAGCGTGTTCCCCCCGTAGCAGCTGGCAGGCTTCTAGTGGGTTTCTGGTTCAGGAACTTACTTTAAGTGGGCCCTTTTTGGGGATCTATAGTATATACAAAGGTTTCCATACTATGGTAGCGCGAACAAGGTCCTTAGGCTCCAAACCCTAAAACCAGAACTCGGTCAGTCCTCCAAGGACCTGGATCAGCGTGTCGCCAGTGTCCGGATACTGGCCATGGCCCTGGAGGGGCACGTCGAGGCTGGAGTGCGGAGGGTTACAGTCTGAGGAAGGAGCCACCCGCACCTTGAGTAAAACGTGTACTGAAGTCCCCAGTAACCCTTATCAAATATCAAACTAGACAATAGAGTTCGTATACAATTAGTACTTAGCTAAATCAGAGTTGATCCGGGATGCTTGGGCGAGTTGTCCCAGTCACCACCCTGCAGGTATTGGAGAGCATCCAGCCGCCGGACTCCGGTTTCGTGCGATCCAATGGTCAGTTTTCCAGTTGCATGCCCATACCAAATTATTCTATACCATAAACCCTAAGCCCTAAACTGTGAGTTGCTTGTGCCGATCGCGATCAACTGTTGTAGCAACATCTGCAAGAAGCATCTTTTGCCGGTCGATTGCTCGGAGGGTGCCTACCACACCTAGACCTTCGTCATGTGCTGCTTGTTCTATGGTACCATTCATACGAGCATGGCTCAATGCATCCATCGCTGCGAAGCAGCTTTTCTTATCCTACGCATTGCTTGTTGAGGCAAGGATCAAGAAACCCCAAGCCCTCGGAAGAAGACCTAAGCCCTCAACCCCCCAAAAAAACTCTAAACCATATCTAGTATTGTGTAATATAGTAAATAATAACATAGTAGATGATATTAAGTACAATAAAAGGAGCTCCTGGCCCCCTGAGATCCGGGGGCCTCCTGAGCCCTGAGATCCCTGAGATCCGGGGGCGCTCCAGGACCCATCCCTGGGACTTGGTCAGTTGGAGCCAATCCTGCCGGAGCTCATCGAGACCTGCCCGAATAGAGTGTTTAGACTTGGGCTTGAGGGTTCATAGAGTAAGCTTGGGCGTAGGTTGTAAAGGCTTGCCATGGCTGAAGCTTTTTGTTCAGTGGATGAAGACAAGAGGAACAACAGTCATACCTGTGAGCAGAGTCATGAAGGGCAAGCTTCAGTCATCACCGTATGGTGATGAAGTGTAGCCAAAGCCATCATCATCATCAGCATGATCGCCCGCATCATCCGCGTCATCCTCATCATCCTCATCCTCTCGTCCTCGTCGTCCTCCGTCCTCATACTGGTCCCGGTCGTCATTCGTCATCGTGGTCGTCGTTGTTGCCATCGCATCGCCATCCCCACCAGCAGAATCACCATCATCGTCGTAATTCTGCGACACTGTTTATGGCGGCAAAGCTAACAAAGCTCATGCCAGTGTGTTGTTCACTGCCACTACCGTCACCACGACTTTCACCAACACTTCCACCACTGCTTTCATCACCACTTCCACCACCACTTCCACCACTTCCACCACTTCCACCACTTCCACCACTTCCACCACTTCCACCACTTCCACCACTTCCACCACTTCCACCACTTCCACCACTTCCACCACTTCCACCACTTCCACCACTTCCACCACTTCCACCAGCACCACCGCCACCACCACCACCACCAATTTGACCCCAGGGGCTGAGGCGGCGGCGTCAAACACAAGGGAAGCGACGTCCACACTGAGTGTAAGAGTATCGACAGCACTCCAAGCTGCAGCCCGGAAAGCCGAGGATGCCATGCACGGGTCGGATCTGCTTCTGTCGCCCACGCCGGAGTCGCGCGAGGCCACGATGTCGGGAGTGAATGTGGGAATTATTTGGAAGGCTGAGAGTGGCGATGGCCATGACGATGACCATGACTATGACACTGAACATGACGATGTAGCTGATGACGGTGGCGGCGCTGATGATGCTGACCGCGCCGGTGGGCATTTTTTGCGACATCTTCGTCACAAATGCTCGTACAGCTCGACTCACAAACAAACGTATTGTTGGACAGTTCAATTCTCGTCAGCCTATGCCGCAACCACTCCAACGGTAGTAGCATCGCAGAATGCTGTTAGAAACGGTAATGGCGTGTGTTGTGGATCCGCTGGGGGTAGAGGATTTTGAGAGTTCCCACAGCATCGCATCTGAAGTTCTCCAGCTGCAAGTCTCTGAAGATGATGCACTGTGAGGCTTTGTTGATGCTCTAGATATTAATTGTTTCGCTTCGTGAATATTGCAAACCGGGAGAGCTCGAATGGTTGCGTGGGCCGTGGCTTTAAGCAGAGCTCTGCCATAAATGCCCAGGAACCTCAGGGGAATTCTCGCGGAAGCCCAGGCCATGTGGATGGTCCTGTCGGCCTTCCTGGAGCCCCTCCGGCCCTTCCTGACGGAGACCCGTAAGTGCCAGAGGGTGTTCTACTGTACAGACAGCACATGCAGAACCGCAGGAAGTGCGATGGAAGTCTAGTGAAGACATAGACCGCAGCAGCTGAGCATCAGCCGGACATCTTGTGCTTTTCGCTGCACGTTGGCGCAGGAGTCGCAAGTCTCCCAGCTGCTGTTCATCTCCCTCGCGTTGGCTTCGAAGGTGCATTGCAAGTGCACAATCTCGAGTTTCCAGCACCACTGGTACTGCTACTGTTCGACTGGGACGCCTATCCTCCGTCCCTGGCAATCTTTTAGCTTTGTACTGCTATCTTTTATCACGAGGGCTATTTTGGGTTTCTGAAGCTTACGGCAGCTGCCTTTTATCATGTTGCTGCATCGACACACGGTTCTCGATGTTTTAGGTCGAGTCTGGTTGCCCCTCGCTCCAATGCCCAGGAAGGAACTCCCCCCCATTCCTGTTGTAGCCATCGCCATGGACCCAACTCGCGCTTCAAGGAAATGATTAGTGCTATCCTGATTGATATGATTCGTATTATTACTCGTATTCTTATTAGGAGTATTACTATTCTTATTCGGCTTATGTGTATTATGACCATGAGTGGCATATTTCCTGCAGCTTACCTGGCTCAGCGGAATCACCCGACTCATCTCCATCACCAAGGTCATCACTATCATCAACATCACCGCCTGTACCGGCTACTGCCACCATCATCAAAATTCTATCCACTGTATTAAACATCGCTACAGTAGCATGGCGACTGCTGCCACTGCAATTCGTTGCCAAGAACTTCTTGCTTCCATGTGTGTAGCACCGCCCAGGCTCCTGTGGAAGAGCTGCCTGAGACCGTCAAAGCGAAGAAGGCCTCGGCGTGGCCCGCCTCCTGTTAAGCGCTGTGTCGACCGACAACCCGATACCCCAAACCCTAAACTCTAGACCCTAAACCGCCAAAATGGCCCCTAAACTCGACCGGATTCGTGACTAGCGGTTGAGATGACTCCAAGGCGTCGCATGTCAGATGTAGAGGAGCTGCTCGGTGAAGTCATGCGCTTTTACAACCTTGATAGTGTCCATATACATACATTGTCACTTACGTATGTATATGTTATATGTATATGTATATATACAGATATTTACATCTATGTATCTGTTTGTCTATCTATCTATCTATCTATCCGTCCATCTTACATACATATATATATATATATATGTATATACATACACACCCACACATACATAAGCAGCCTTCTGGTCTTACCTATGACACCCTTACAATATGCTACGCTCATACTGTCAAAGACCTTTATTTCCACAGTGTTGCGGTGGTGTGGCAGCAATGAAGGATGTCCGAGTGCAGGACGGCAGGTGCAATATAGGATAACATGAAAGGATGTCCGCTTACAGCTGACAATGTAGGAACCTGATTAAGAAACCCTGGGCCTATAACCCCAAAATACTAGGAGTCATATAAGGAACCCCATTGGAGACCCAAAGTTTCCTAATCAGGTTCCTACATTGAGCTATAACCCCTAACCCTAAACCCTCTTCGTTCCAGCTACGATTGCCCTTGTGTTAGCTGTTGCATGGCTGGCTGTGGACCAGTTCCGGACGACCCAATCCGAGGACTGTGAGCCAGGTAGCAGACAACGAGGACCAGGGGAGGTTCAGGGCTTATAGGGGTCGAGGTTTTGGGGCTCATGATTTATCAGTTTTTAAGGGTTTAGGGCTTAGGGTTCATGATTTGTCAGTTTTAGGGGTCTGGGGTTCAGGGTTCGCACGGAAGTTGAACTAGGGTTAGGGTTCACAGGGGAAGAGTATTATAAGGTTATTGTCGGGGCACAATAAGGGTTAGGAGGATGTCAAGCGTACTTTGTAATATATACATAAATAGATACCTAAAGACAGAAAGAGGGACACAACGAACGAACTAAAGAAAGAACGACAGATAGAAAGACATAAATGAATACACATATAGATAAATACATACGTATGTATGTATATATATATATATATATGGTACCCCCCCCCATTGACCTACCCTTTTTGGTCTTTTTGAAAGGCAAGGGTGGGTCGGGGCGGGGTGTACCCGAATGGAGCGGCGTTCCCAAAGACCTAGTTTCTTAAAAGACTCAATCTTTCGGAGGTTGAGGGAGACTGTATCCAAAACCAAAAAAATTTTTGGCCTCGCAGCACCTTGGAACTCTGGGCGCTGCAAAACACTGAGAGGCCTCAATCTTTTGGAATCCCGAACCTCAGAAAAATTGAGGCCTCTCAGTGTTTTGCAGCTTCCAAATTCAAACACATTGAGAGGCCTCAATCTTTTTATGATTTTGAAGCCAAAACGCTGGGAGGCCCCAAAAGACTCAAAAGACTCAATCTTTTGGAGGTCTTGGGAAACTATAACCAACATCAGAAAAATTGAGGCCTCTCAGTGTTTTGCAGCTTCCAGATTCCAAAACACTGAGAGGCCTCAATCTTTTGGAATCCCGAACCTCAGAAAAATTGAGGCCTCTCAGTGTTTTGCAGCTTCCAGATTCCAAAACATTGAGAGGCCTCAATCTTTTGGAATCCCGAACCTCAGAAAAATTGAGGCCTCTCAGTGTTTTGCAGCTTCCAGATTCCAAAACACTGAGAGGCCTCAATCTTTTTATGATTTTGAAGCCAAAACGCTGGGAGGCCCCAAAAGACTCAAAAGACTCAATCTTTTGGAGGTCTTAGGAAACTAGCCAAAATCAGATAAGATTGAGGCCTCTCAGTGTTTTGCAGCTTCCAGATTCCAAAACACTGAGAGGCCTCAATCTTTTGGAATCCCGAACCTCAGAAAAATTGAGGCCTCTCAGTGTTTTGCAGCTTCCAGATTCCAAAACATTGAGAGGCCTCAATCTTTTGGAATCCCGAACCTCAGAAAAAATTGAGGCTCTCAGTGTTTTGCAGCTTCCAATTCCAAAACATTGAGAGGCCTCAATCTTTTGGAATCCCGAACCTCAGAAAAATTGAGGCCTCTCAATGTTTTGCAGCTTCCAGATTCCAAAACACTGAGAGGCCTCAATCTTATTGATTTTAAGGCTAGTTTCCTAAGACCTCCAAAAGATTGAGTCTTTTGAGTCTTTTGGGGCCTCCCAGCGTTTTGGCTTCAAAATCATAAAAAGATTGAGGCCTCTCAGTGTTTTGCAGCTTCCAGATTCCAAAACATTGAGAGGCCTCAATCTTTTGGAATCCCGAACCTCAGAAAAATTGAAGCCTCTCAGTGTTTTGCAGCTTCCAAATTCCAAAACATTGAGAGGCCTCAATCTTTTGGAATCCCGAACCTCAGAAAATTTGAGGCCTCTCAATGTTTTGCAGCTTCCAGATTCCAAAACACTGAGAGGCCTCAATCTTATTGATTTTAAAGCTAGTTTCCTAAGACCTCCAAAAGATTGAGTCTTTTGAGTCTTTTGGGGCCTCCCAGCGTTTTGGCTTCAAAATCATAAAAGGATTGAGGCCTCTCAGTGTTTTGGAGCTCCCACAGTCCCAAAGTGCTGAGAGGCCTCAATCTTTTTGAGTCTTGAATCTCAAAAAGATTGGGGCCGCTCCAGGTTTTGCAGCTCTCACAGTTCCAAAGTGCTGAGAGGCCTCAATCTTTTGGAGTCTTGAACTTGGGGCCGAGAATATCTGGCCACATTAGTTTTCTGCTTCTGCTGCCATTTTTTGTTGTTTGTTTGGGGCCCTGGGCCCTGTTACTCTGTTACTCTCATACTCTTATACTCTATGACTCTATTACTCTATTACCTATGACCCTATTACTCTCTTACTCCAAAAGCTCTATTACTCTATTACTCTAGTACTTTATTAGTTTATTACTCTGTTACTCTATTACTCTATTACTCTATTATTCTATTACTCTATTACTCTATTACTCTATTACTCAAATACTCTCTACTCTATGACCCTATTACTCTTATACTCTCACTCTATTACTCTATTACTCCATTACTCTATTACTCGATTACTCGATTACTCGATTACTCTATTACTCTATTACTCTAATACTCTATTACTCTACTACTCCACTAACTCTATTTATTACTCTATTACTCTATCTACTTTATTTCCTCTATGACTCTATGACTCCATGACTCTATTACTCTGCTACTACCCCTACTCCTACTACTACTACTACTACTACTACTGCTGCTACTACTACTACTACTCGTACTACTAATACTGCTATTGCTACTGTTACTGGTATTGCTTTACTATTACTATGCAGCACTATTACTATTACCATTACTATTACTATTACCATTACCAATGCATAAAGTCATGGAGCAAAGCCTGCGGGTCACGCGCTTCGAACGCACTGTTTCTTGTACTATTACTCTTTCTTTATTACTCTATTGCTATTGCTCTATTGCTCTATTGCTTTATTGCTTTGTTACTTTATAACACCATTAGTCTTTTCGTCTTTCAGTCTGTTTAGTTTGTTTAGTCTATTAGTCTATTAGTCTACTAGTCTACTCGTCTATTCGTCTATTCGTCTATTCGTCTATTAGTCTATTAGTCTACTAGTTTATTCTGTCTATTAGTCGTCTATTCGTCTATTAGTCTATGATTGTATTACTCTATTACTTTTTACTATTACCAGTACTAGTACTATCTATAACAAACACGCGAAAAAAACCACAGGTGCAAAAAAATAATGGCGACAAAAATAGGCCCTCCCTTGTCCATGCATCATTGCCACTCATTGCTCCTGAGACCCCCAACAAAGGTAGGTCAATGGAGGGGGGGGTAGCATATATATATATATATACACACACACACATGCGTACCATACACACATCCAGCATACGTATGTACGTATGTGTTATAGGGGTACTGAGTACGGGTACTGTAGGGGCGCTGTAAGGGCATGATAAAGGCACCAGTGGGGTTACTAAGGTTACTATAAGCAGCACGGTCTTGAAGTCATTAGCAGTGGCTGGTAGCACAATGCATATAATGTTCTTATCGTGCCCTTACATAACATGGTACCCTTGCAGCGTTCTTGTTGTTGTTGCTGGCTTCGGCTTGTCATCGGTTCAGGCCCCAAAACCACTGGAACAGCAAACCCTCAAAAACTTGAACTCCCAACTCTGAAACCTGAACCATACATCCTGAACCCTGAACCCTGAGCCCGAAATCCTGAACCCTAAAGCCCGAAGCCAGCAAGGGTTCTGCCTGATCCCCAAAAAAAAAGAGCCCGAAGCCTGCACTCGCGCACGCTGCGTTGCAGGAGATCTTGGACGCCCAGAAGCTGGACAGGGCCCTGGCAGCCCTGAGCAGTGGATTGGCAGAGGCGTCGCAGACTCTCTGGGCAAAGGTTTCTTCAAGGCTTTCGTTGAGGGCTCTTACAGTTGCGGCTTCTTCCGCAAGGGGTTTGCTGAAAGGAGCCTTCCGCTCACTTTGGATGGGGGGTTTCTTATCAAAAATACTCGTTGTGATTATGATTGAATAACGATCAGTATCAATAGCCAAAAATAGTTGTGGTCATGAATTAAATAGCAAGACGTATCCATGGCCCGAACCCTAATTCCTGGAAGGTGCCCAAGTCAAGCCTGGACTCCTTGGACGACTTGGACGACGACCTTCAGCCGGTCCTTGGGCTTTTAAAGGGAACTCCAGAAAGTTGGAATATGGTTTCAGGGTAGGATACCCTATAATTTACCATAAAGGGTTTAGGATAATCATATTCCAACTTTCTAGCCTTTACTGTAAGCCTCAGACTTCCCATGGGGGCTCCTACAAGGATTCAAGGAGTCCAGGCTTCGGTATTTGTCTTAGCATTTTTCAAGGGTCTGCAAAGATTCCCATAAGGGTTCCGTAGGGATTTCATTTCCATTCGGGTCTCTTTGTGGGTTACGCTGCTGTCTTTTCTCTGGTCTCCTGTCTTTGCTGCCCTTTTTTTTGCTGCCTCGAATTCAAAACCATGTGACCCTAAACCCTAAACCCCTAAACCCAAAACCCTGTAACCTTAAACACCCTGCATAGAAAGCCTAGAGAGCCCCTGCAAAACCCCTAACGCCCGAGTTTTTCGGGTTTGAGGGCACCTTCCAGGAATTAGCGGTTAAGGCTTTCAATATTAATTACTCTTTAATACGAGTCACAGCAATTATTGTTGATAAGAACCCCCATCAAAAGTGTAAGCTTTCGCTCTGACTCTTAATTTACCTTTGGTTAGTAGGGAATGGAAGAATGGTAGCAACAGTGGTTATAGTTGTACCCCATTCCTCCATTCCCTACTAACCCAAGGTAAGTTAACCCAGGAGTCGGAGGTGCCGCCGCTGCAGCGGCTCTTTGACCGCGCCTTTGGCCATGCCCCCCGGCCGAAAAAACCTGGAGTCTTCGAGGGTTTAGGGTTTCGGAGGGTTTAGGGTTTTTGAGGGTTTAGGGTTTTGGGTATAGGAGGGTTTAGGGTTGAGGGTTTAGGGTTTAGGAGGGTTCAGGGTTGAGGGTATAGGAGGGTTTAGGGTTGAGGGTTTAGGAGGGTTGAGGGTTGAGGGTTTTGGGTTTAGGAGGGTTCAGGGTTGAGGGTTTAGGAGGGTTTGGGGTTTAGGGTTTGGGAGAGTTCAGGGTTTAGGAGGGTTTAGGGTTTTTTTGGGGGGGTTCCCTTTGAGGCTTCGGGTTCAAGTCCGAGCAGAGTCTGCCGGCCCGAGGTTTGGGGCTAAGGGTATTTGGGAGTTCCCGAAAATTAGGGATACCTTTTTTTTGGGTCCTTATTATGAGGATACTACTATTCTGGGTACTATCTTAGGGTCCCCTGTTTTCGAAAAATCCCAATTCGGGCTCGGGCTCCTAAGGGTTGCATGAGAGTCTACAAGGTTTGTATAGGGAACTTGGGGATTTGGGTTTTAGAGAGTTTCAGCGCGCAGATGGGGTATTTCTTTGTGGTATTGTTGGGCGGTGTTGGTGAGTTTTAGCTTGGTTTAGTTTTATTTTTGTTGTTTGTTTTCTGAACTGTTGGGTCCAAGGTTTGACAGCCGGTGTAGGACTGGAATTGGAAAACCCTAGGCCCTAGTCACCACACCCTACACCCGCAAGTAAAGCCCACATGACTGGGGAGTGTAAGTTGCAAGAGCTGATGAATGTCAGAACCCTTCTTCTGGCATCCCAGATGCTTCCAGCAGGTTTTGATTTTAAGGGCTGAAGCACCAATGAATCTCAGTTGGAAGCACCCCCAACGCTTGAGCCCCAAACCTAAACCCCAAACCTTAAACCCTAAACCTTAAACCCTAAACCCTAACCCCTCGAACCTGACTCTGCCACGACGGAGGTCATGGACCGAGTGGAGGATTCCTTCCAGGCCTTGTTTTGGGGCCGAGCTCTGCAGGGCTCGAGGGCTCCAATGCACGGACCTTTAGGGTTTTCGGTTTGGGGCTGCAAGGTGACGACTGCCACCTACGGCGACTGCCACAGTTGCCAACACCACGACCAACGACCACCACCACGACTACGACGACCACGACGACCAACACGACGACGACCGCCACGACGACGACCAAGACGACGACGACTACCAAAACTGTTACCTACTACCACCACTACTCCTGCTGTGTTGTCGTTGCTCTTGTGGCGTCTGCTGCTCATTGTGAGAGAGGATGATCACGATGATGCTGATGGTGACGTTTATGATGCTTATGATTATGATGGTGATGATGTGGTGTTCTTGATGTCGATGATGTTGACGCTGATGATAATGAGAATGATGATGACGATGGAGGTATGATGATGATGATGATTGTGATGGTGATGTTGTTGCTTCCGGTGATCATCTTCATGGTCATCATCACATGCATCATCAACATCATCAGGGCTATCGTCCTTTCCTTGATCACGCTGTTTCCATGTCTTGTTTATGCAGCGGGCACACGTGCATGACCGACTTCCAAGTTTGGACAGCGCCAAGGTGCAATAACATAGAATGTAGGGGCCTTAGTGAGCATAAAATTGTGTCGGAGTACATTAAGCCATACATATAAGAGACTATATAGGGGGCTGTTTGTCTGGAAGTATTCCTACCCCCTGTTTGTTCCGCTGACAGGTCTTCCGAAGCGTGCTGCACCTGAGCCCGACTGAGGTGCTGCTGCAGGCATCTCCCTCCACTCAGGGAAGGTTTGGGGTTTAAGGAGTTAGGGTTTCGGGCATTGGGTTGAGGCTTGCGGATGTCGGGTCTGTCTCAAGCTCGGAGGGTCTGAGGGCCAGTGCAAACAGGTCTGGAGAAGGCTCTGTTGCTTCTGACCCACGAAGCAGGCCTTACGTGCTTAGGCTTTCTAGGGGAACCTTTGGCGTGGATCCGGTAGCCTGGAACCCTGACAGCTTTCGTGATTTCCCCTAAAACCTAAACCCTAAACACCCTAAGCCCAAAACCCTAAACCCCGAACCTTCCTTGCGGCCACGGGGCTTCATAAGCCTGGGAGTCCTTGCAGGTGGCCAACCAGGAGCAGATCCTGTCACATCTGGCTGATTTTGCAGGCCAGTGGCGCTTCGAAGAACCCAAGCCTGAACCCTAAGCCCCACAGGCCCTACACCCCAACCTGAAAGCCTAAACCCCCTGGCTCCGTAGTTGCGGCGGCTTCTTTGAGTCGGAATTCACATGGCGTCTCGGGCCGCGTTGCGTGCGAGAAAGCCTTCGCAAGGCGCCGCCGCAGCGCTCGAGACGCGGGCCTCTTCCCAGGCGTCGAAAATAGGGGACCCTAATATAGTACCTAAATAGTAGGATCCTCATTATAGGGACCCCCAAATAAGGTACCCCTAATTTTCCAGAGCCGGGCCGTAAGAAGAGCTTTGAATCCGATTTCTAGCAAGGGTTCCAAAAAAGAGCTCTACAAGGTGCTCTAAGGGATTTAGTAAGGGTTCTACAGGGACTTTACCTGTAGCGCATCGATAAAGGTCGCTCAGAGTCCACCAGAATTCAGGGCCTTGCTGCTCTTGGGGATAGTGGAGTTTCCCAGGTGAACAGTTGCCTACATGAGGGCTCCTGTGTGTTCAAGATCAACCTACAGATGGAAACCAAAAATGCAACACCCTAAACCCGAAAACTTAAGCTCTAAGCTCCACTCGTTTCGAGGCGCATCCTTTAAAGTGGCCAACAGGAAAGGAAGATCCTCGTCTCCCCTCTAGGGCCCCAAATCCCAAGTCCAAAGAACCACAAGCCCCAAACCCTGACATTTCAACATCTAGAGCCAAAGGCCTTGAATCCCAGAGTTCAGTTTCCAGAGCCCCGAGCCCACCACCCCGAAAAAAGTCTCAACATCCCCTTCTATCCCGGCCCCTGGACCCTAAACCCTAGACTCCTAGACCCTAAACCGCCAGAGGCTCTGGGTGTGCGTCTCGCCTTGCGTGCTGCTGAGACTCCCGGCGGACGCAGCTTCGCTGGAAAGGCCTTCCTTCTTGTAACCCTTGTAGAAGTCTTGTAAGAAGTCTTATAACCATAGCCCTCCTAGTAGGAATTGTGTAGAGGTTGGGGTTTAGGAGTATTCAGGGCCTTAGGGTTTGAGGTGTAGGGTTTCAAGCCTCGTAGGAAAACCCGGAGTAACCCTTAGTCCTTATGGTAACCTTTAGTCCTTACTCCATTCGCCCCCGGCAGATCTTGGAACTCCTCGGCACAGCGCTGGTGCAGGCGTCACAGGGCCCGAGCTACCGTGCCCTGGCTCTGCGATCTTTTCCGGGTTCTTTGGTGGCTAAGGTTTTGGGATGTTCCGGATGAAGCGTTTTCAGGGGCTTGCGGATGTTTACCTTTAGGGGCTCTGGGTCTCGGGTGCAAGAGAGAGTCGACGAAGGGGAAAACGATCCACATCCGAGCATGCTCGCAAGCTCAGGTGCGCTTTCCGTGCCCGTGGCCCTTGCGGGCTGCGCAGCCTACCGGCGCTTCTTCTTGCGGCGAGGGGTATCTGGGTCTGCAAAGGGTTTTCATGCTGGTCCAAGAGTCCAGGCAGCTGGCTGGCAATGCTGGGTGAGAGAGGCGAGTTTCATAACAAAAGCGACTGCAACGGACCCCAACGTCGACCCTAAATAGAAGGATCGTACAATAAGAAGCGTTGAACGTCGCATGCGCATTTTTGAAGAAGCCCTGCTTGAAAGGCAGACGTCGCTTTGGCTCTGCCGACCGCGTCGCAAGGCTGGTTGCTGTCCTCTAAGCCCAGGCCCCACAAACCTTCAACCCTAAACCGTAAACCCCTAAACTCCTAAACTCTCACCACAAGCCCAATGGGGCCAGAAAAGGGTCTGCCAGGGTAGCTCAGGTATAATTATTCACGCTTGGCAGGAGGCGGCCGTCAAACAGAACATCAAGGTTCAACCCTCAAACCCCTAAACCCAAAGCTCTATATGGGAGGTAATTTGTTTTGGGGTCCTTATAGTAAGGATCCTACTGTTTAGGGTATTATATTAGGGTCCCCCCTTTTCAAAAAACTCTATATTTCTAGACCCCAAGCTCCTGAACCCTAAACGGCCGGAGGCGCCAGCTCCTCCAGCCTGCTGCACTGGATGCAGTCGACTTTTGCAGACCAGGACCGGCCACTGTACTATGGGGGTCAGAAGAAATAGGAGAATTTCGCCTGATCGTCGCGAGTATGTACAACTTTAGTTAATTTTAAACGCTTCCCGTCGTCCGCCTCGGCCTGGCTGTGCTTGAAGCAGGTGCATTGTTTCGGAAAACAGCAACCCGAAAACCTGCCAAGGCCCATTGGCCTGAAACCCGAAGCTCTAGTAACCCTCAAGCTGAAACCTCGAACCCGAAACCCTAAACCCGCAGCGTATACGGATAAAGCGCAGACCTGATGCAAGCGTGAAGCTCGCACGCCATGGCATCGGAGGTAAACTCCAAGACCCTCTCCTGGGTATGCGTGCCCCTCTAAAGGCAGCTGTATGTTCTCTTTGGGAAAGAAGGGGCGGTGGCTCTTAGCTCCAAGTCTCCGAGATTCTCCGAGTCACTCAAAGTGATAGTTTGAGGGTCGCTATAAGGGTCACCAGCTTCAGGGTTTAGGGCGTCAGGCTTAGAGTATACTACCGGATCCCCGGCATATGATGCCAAGAACTCGAACCTGCGGGAGCCAATTGTTCGGGGGCCTCAAAAGGTAGGATGAAGGTAGGTGCGATATTCCCAAATAAGAGTCCCTATATAAGGGATCCTTAATCCCACCTACCTTCGTCCCACCTTGTGAGGCCTCCGATTTGTGACCCTAACTGAAGGAGCTCTACAAGCGTCTGCACCTCGCCATGGAGCACGCCGAGAAGGCACCATGACCTCAAACCCTAAACTCCAAGGAAACCCTGAAACCGGTTCACCAGATGTCCCTGATGAAGGACTAACCAGGCTTGCCCTATGGCAGGAGTCAAGGTCAAAGGAAGTATGAGCCCTCAAAGCGACCGAACCCTTCAACAAAAGCCCTGAAACCCTAAACCCTAAACCCTGAGATGGTTGGGTGGATTGGAAAAGCGGCATTCCAAGAAATAACTCTGAAGCCCTATACCCCGAGAGGGTCCACTTCCAGGAGCTTTCCCCCTTTGCAGGTGATGACGGGCACCGGCCAGGAAGACTGGGTGCTCGAGAAGGCCCACCGGTAAGGACCCTCAATAACTGCCTATATTATTCCTTAGCAGGGTTCCTTATTAGCAGTCTTATGAAGGCCCCTGCATCAGGGTGTAGGGTTCAAAGTTTAGGGTCTAGGGTGCACTGTACAGGGCTCAGGGTTCAGGGTCTTAGTTTCAGGGTTTATGGTTTAGGGGGTTTTTAGTGTCAGGGTTTCGGGTCCCGGGCTTGGGATTTTGGGCTTAGCAGTCTGAAGCTTCCTGGCTCAAGTGCCCGGGAACTTGCAGCGGGTGATGGGCATGTTCAGACCGAAAGCATTTAAGGCGAGCCCGTTCGGCTTAGGATGTGATGTAGGGTTTGGGAATCTAAGTTTTTGGGCTTTCGGCTTAGTGACGAGGGTTTGAGGTTTCCTCAATGCCTGTCGACGGCCAGCTTGTCTAGACCTTCGTACGCAGTGTCCATACTGACACCTAAACCCTTAGCAGCCCTAGACGGTTTATGGTTGAGGGTGTGCATACTACGATACCCTAAACCCGGTACCCTAGCCCTTTTTCGGCGTAGTGGTTCCGAAAGAGCTCAGGCCAGGAATATCCGGCTGGAGTCGGAGCGGCAAGCAGTTTCTCGGCTCTCAGCAGAGGGTTCTTCTGAAGTCTCAGCAGGGCTTCGAGTGCAGGGTTTCATAAGGGCTTAAGGGTTGTCGCAGGGGTTTAACGGCTGCTGGGTTTCATTAGGCTTAGGGGTTGAAGGTGGTTTTCTGATGGGGTTTTGCAGCCATGCGTGGGTGCCGCGCATGACTTTCGGTGTCCAATCCCCTGGACATAGCGCAATGTATGTGGCATCATGTGTCAGGCCATTCTTCATAGCAGGTCTCTATATGGGAGTTTCCGAAAATTAGGGGTACATTATCCTGGGGGCCTTATAACAAGGATCCTACTATTTAGGGTACTATCTTAGGGTCCCCGATTGCTCCCATTTCTTTTCATCGGGTTCCATCCTGCATCGGACGAATCTGGAGCACTATCCTTTCGGTTCAGCCGCTGCCTTACCGTAGCACGGGGTGAGCGCGTCAGTCGTTTGGGCCGAGACCTGCTACCACGTCCTTGGCGAACATGTTGAGTACCAACGTGTGGTGCGCCTGAGCAGGGGCCTCCCGTTGATCGCGAAGGCCCAAAGCCAGTAGACTCAATCCCTAAAGCCCTAAACCCGCAACCTCTAAATCCCCAACCCTCAACCTCTAAGCCCTCAAGCCTGAACTCTGAACTCCGGTACACAACCCACTACTGATTCCCCAGGCTGTTCTACGAGGAGCTGCGGCATCCACCGCCCTCCTGGCGCTGCGGCAGGGGCTGCTTAGACCCCAATTTGAGGGTCTCCAGATCTACGCTGAAGCCTTAACCGAAAGCCCGTTTCGGGTTTAGGTAAGGTTCCGAAAAACCGTAATACGAGTCTAGGTCATGAACTTCCTCTGTGGCTTGACCTATCGGACAACTTAAACTACCCGTCTTGAAACTGTAGGAGACAGTGGATACAGCACAAAAGCCTTTCTAGAGGCAGGAATAATTGGATGGTCATTCGAGTTCCAATGACTGCTGCTGCTGCTACTCTTCCTAGTACCGCAGGCTCCTAGTCCAGAAGCGGCCGCCTTGGTCAGCAGAAGCAGGCGGCTGTCCGTTCAGGATGTAGGTTTGGGTTTGCTGCTTCTGGTATGTTTCTTCTGCACTTGGTATCACGCCTCGTAGCAACGTGATTTCTTTCTACAAGTCTTGTGGCCTACACCAGAGTGTCGCCTTTATGAGTAGGACCGTTCCAAAGGCCGCTAAGTTTTAGAGAATTTATCATTGGGGTTTAGGGGTTAGGGGTTCAAGGATCAACATAAATTCTGCGGGATCAGATGGAGCCTACGTCGACATTCTTCTTGTAAGAAGATTGTCGGCGTCGCTTGCGCAGCCATAGCTTCTTGGACTTGGGGCTGCTTCCCTCTTGCTGGTGTGTGCTCTTCCACGCCGTACCGATCACTTGGCGCAAATTCTGTAAAGTCAGACACCAGGTGGATTTCTATGTTGCCTACGTTACTTGGTTGGGGATAGGCCAAGACAACATGTTGCTTCAAGTGACAGCTGTGGAAGTCCAGGTAACTTTAAAGGTATAACCCAGCAACACAAGAATCATGGCACCAACAGCGCTGCAGTGATGGAATAGAATATGTTACGCCAACGACACATTGCACGGCCAGGCCGCTCGCTGTTTCTGGCTGTGGCGTCCACACTTGGGGTGGCTTCTTCCACGCCTCTCGTCTGCTGCTTTGCCAACGGCTAAGGGCTGAAGGACTTTGAAGCCGCAGCTGCAGAGCCAATGGAGTGGTCAGTGATCATGTACTACCTCATTTCACCTTATGTGAGAGGATGTCAGCGTCATCTTGTGTGTGTGTCCTTTCATGTGCGCTATAGAATTTTGGTAGGTAGCAGCCTTGTAGTTTAGATGAACACACCATGCGCACAAGCATGCATGTCGGATGTTCTTAGTCTCCTATGCACACATCCGTGCGTGCACACACGCAGATGCATGTTGTACTGAGAGAATGCAGTGACAGATCTCTCTCTCTCTCTCTCTCTCTCTCTCTCTCTCTCACACACGAACACATATACCATACATGTGCCGCATATATCTCTGTTTTGGGTATAGATACATGTTGCGCAACATGTACAACGCAAACAACCACGCATACATGTATGCATACACAATGCAGATACAAGTAAATTGCGCACCTTGTTATGTGTACACACACATACACACGCTCACGCACCCTTCTGCATCGTTTGCACCTCGTAAGTGCATAGTACTAATGCAGTAGTATTCTCATGTATGCCTCCACAGATAGATAGATCGATAGATTAGTAGAAACAGCGAGACACATGCCGTGTATGCAGCAGAGCACAGAGGTAGATATGCCGAGGGTACCTACCCTCAAGATACCTGGAGCCAGCCTGTAATTAGAGTGCCTGGAGCGAGATAGTTGAATGAGTTACATATGAAGCGCAAGCAAGCAAGCTTGCAAGTCCAACTCAGCGAGACGGTGTAGTGACAGAGTAGTGGTAGCTAGCTGCTTACTCAATCAAGAAGCGATGCACACATACATTTGCACATTTGCACAAATGCATGCATTCACACATCTGTACATAGATACAGTCCCGCGTCCTGAACCCAACACCTTGACATCCTATGCCTAAAGCCTGAATTCAGAACCTTAAGTCTGAACCCCACGCCCTGGGTTCTAGTTGAGGGGTTTAGTTTAAGTTACCATGGGATCTACGTTCCTTTTCATGGTAACTTAAACTAAGATCCGTAACCAGAGCCCAGACGTCCACAGCGCCTGACAAACAGCCACCGGCAGCCAAAGGCTTGAGCCCCCCTTCGTGCGGCCCACGCCCCCGGCGCTGCTCCTCTACACCGCGGAGAGGGTTTAGGGTTTAGGGTTTAGGTTTTAGGGTTTAGGGTCCAGCAAACCTAAGTGGTTTTTTTTGGGGGTTGGGGTGGGTTTATGGCTTGGGGTTGAAGAGCTATAAGAAGCGATAGCGGTTCCGTGAGAGATTTTCTTGTAGCCTGAGAGGGCTTTGTTGGGTTTAGTTCGAGTCAAGTTCGTTTTTGGTTTTTGAGGGGTTTATGGCTTTGGGAGTGTGAGACTCGGTCTCAAAGGCTTTCGGGGTGGTTTTTGTGTTTTGGATGGGCTCTGAGGCTCGGTGCTTGGCGGGCCCCATCATGGTTAGGGTAGAGGCGCCACAGCTTTTGCCAGAGTTTTTCAAGAGTTCATCGGCATAGGTGAAGCGTCTGAGGCCCTAAAACCCCCAAGTCCAAACCTTTAACCTGATTCCTTAGAGTCATCCCATCGGCCGAATCGCCTTAAGCCCTTTTACCCTTAAACCCTGAACCCCAAACCCTGAACCCTCTGGTAATGCAGTCGGAAAAGGGCCCGCAAAAAAAAAAAACCCTGAACCCGAAACCCTAAAGTCTAAGAGCTCCTCAAGCTTCGACTGCCAGGAGCTCCTCCACTTGCTCCTGCACCTGCCGGCTGACGAGGAGAGACTCCGCCCGGCTGCGGCGCGGTTCCGGAAGGGTGTCGTCTGGTGGACCTGCACCATAAAGCCCTACCCCCGCTAAGCGGTCGAATCGAAGCCGTATTTACGCCCTGAACCCCCAAGCCTCTAACCCTAAACCCTAAATCTATCCAAGCATCCAGGAAGCGGATGCCAGTGCTGGGCCCCAAGACCGCCCTTGCAACGCGCGCCACAGCAGGGATGCATGGACATGGAGCAAGCGGCCGAGGTTGCTCTTTGCACTGCGAAACCATAAAACCCAAAATCCCTAAACCCTTGCAACCCCTAAACCATAATCTCTAGACCCTAAATCCTTACAGAGGCTCTCCGGGCAGAGGAAAGAGGCTTTCAAAAGCAATCCGAAACCCCTAAACCCTAAACCCCTAAACCCTAAACCCTAAACCCTAAACCCCTAAACCCTAAACCCTAAACCGCTGTGGCTTCTGGGGCTCAAGGCTTGTAGCAGTCGAAAGCGCTATCGGAGCCTTTCTGGGCCCCTCTCCTCCTGTCCCATGGAGAAGTGTGGGCCTCAAGTGGTCTGTGTTGAGTGAAATAAGGGCCTTAAATTACGTATACTATTTTGGGGTTCCTTATTATAATAGTAGTATAATGGGCTCCGAGATAAGGGACAAAGAGTAGAAGAAGAAAAGAGGACATGGAAAGTAACAAGGAACAAGAGTATACACACGGATACGGAACTGCAGAGTTCCCGCGTTTTGGCTTCAATATTGGAAGGCGAAAAATCAAAAGCGCCGAGTTTCAAATCCTGAACACAAAACCTAAAGCCCACAAGCCCAAAGAAAGCCCCAATGCCAAGCAGCCCTAAACCCCCAACTACCTCCTATAACGACTTTCTGGAATCCCTAAGCCGTAAGTCCTGAATGTACTCTAAACCCTAAACCCTAAGCCCTAATCCTGGCCTAAACCCTGAACCTTAAACTCCTTTTCCATCCGAGGCCTCAGCAGCGCAGCACCAGCCAGGAGCGGGAACTGCTGGAGAGGCGCCCGGTTTTGGGATGTTTTGGGTGCTTTTCGGATCCCGGTTCCAGGTTTTGGCGTTTCTTATGGATGGCGTTTTTTTTTTTTGGTTTTCGTAGGTGTTCTGGGCGGTTGCTGGGATCGCAGGTTTTGAGCGTTTTGGGAGTTTCGGGTTTGTTTGGAGGTTTCGGGCTCAGGCTTTTCACGGTGCACAGCGCTACAAATCAGCCCAGGTCCAAGAATCCTTGCGAAGCTGTACAGCAGAGGGTCGCGAAGGACAGGAGGCTGGACAGGGAAGCTTAATTCGGAACTTCACTGCGGTAGCGGTCTGAAGCAGTCTCGGGTCTGTTGCCATGACAAGACAAGACAAATTATCTGTTCTGTGGTTCGGCTGTGGTAGCTTAACCAGGTTCCTTGGCAAGAACAGGGCTGCCCTGGTTGTGTGGTAGCCCACTGATCGGGCTCACCGAGCTTGCAAGATGATTCCTCCATATTCGAAGCATCAAAACAGATATAAGTTGTACCTGCTTGGTGCAAGTATGCAGTGAGCATACCACCGAAACAAACTGTCTAGGCATGATGACACCCCTCTAAACCGAATGGCTCTCGTCTAGGCAGAGCAGCCGAAGCCGCAGTGCGACAAGACCGGAAAGGGACCAGCAGGAGGCCGTCCAATCAGTACTATAGCGGCCTTAACAGGTACCTATACTATTTTGGGGGTTCCTTATTATAATTATAGTATAATGGGCGGCAAAATCCTGTTCTATTTATTAAGGCCCCTATATTTGTACCAGGGGCTTTGCACAGGGATGGCGTGTCGACGCCTCCGTGTATTTTCGCACCCGCACCTACTTCCGATCTGAAACCCATCAACCCATTCTTGGATGTGCTTGAACCTTTCAGTGCAGCGGAAGTTACACCCGAAAAGCGCAAGGTGCTGTTAAAGCCAGGAACTGGAAGCGGAAGCGATTTAATGCTCATGCCATTTGTGCATCACCACGGTCATCCTACTGGAGAATCCTATAACTGTATGGAATCGCAGTCAGTCTGCGAGTCGTAAGTGTACTTTAGCACGCCACCTAATGCCCCTCTCGTCGTTTATGTGCTTCTCAACAATGGATATGTGCTTCGTTCCGTATTCGTTCGGAGTGTCCAACAAGGCCCGGCATTAACCCGCAAACTTCTGAACCCCCGACGACAAACAGCCCTAAACCTTGAACCCTTAACCCCGAATTCTGGACACCTGTACTCAGGCAGAAGGAAAGAGGCATTAAAAAAAAACGAAAACCTTAGCCCTGAACGCCCTTAAGCCCCCAAAGACCCCACACTTATCCCCACACCCAAAACCAAGAAGCTTCAAAAATGTCCATGAAAACCCCTGAGCCCCAAAGCACTTCAAGGAGCCCCCGAAAGCCCTAAAGCCCTTGAACCCTTAACCCTCAACCCCAAAACCCTAGACTCTAAACCCTAAGCCTTCCTCGGAGTCGCAAACAGGTTGTGACTGAGCTTCGTGCTGGCGCGGAGGAGCGGCGGGATGGAGGCGCCTTGAAAAGTCTCTCTTTGGGTCTTGAGGTGCTTCTGTGGCAGGTCGTCAAGGGTGTTGAGGGATTTTAAAGGTTTTGGGTTCCAGGATTTGGGGCCCACTTGGAGGGTTCAGGGTGACTGGGGTTTTTGAGCGGGTTAAGGTTTTGGGGTTTTGGCCTTAGGAATTTCGGGTCTGCGGTTGCAGGATGTATGCAGGAATCAGTACATAATTACATACGTAGCTCAATGCACGTGTGTGTGTGTGTGTGTGTGTGTGTGTGTGTGTGTCTGTGTCTGTGCTGTAGAGTGGCATTTGCTCGTACGTAAAGCTTTCTTGCACTTGCTTGGAACACCTTTGGAAGTATACGTCATAGACCACCGTCAAAGCAAGCAAGTTCGGTGTACAGACAGAGCGAACATCTCAACTGCGTCCCATGGTTTTGAAGGGCGTTCCCCGGACCCATGGGAGTACACTTCAACAAGTAGCCACCAGTGATTCGTACGTCAAGAAGATGCACGGCTTGTATAGGCATGGCCGCCCATGCCGCAGCGGCTCCTAGTAACACTTGTATGTAAGACCATGTGTTCACATATGCATACCACAGAGGGCAGGTAGGTTGGGCAGTGTAGATAGACAGACAGACAGACAGATAGGCAGACAATAGACGGATGGATAACTAGATAGACAAATAGATAGCCCCACATTGGAGGTGTATGTATGTATGTATGTGCGTACGTATGTATGTAGATGTCGAGATAGATGTTCACTTTCATGCGCATGTGCACCCGAGTACGAAGATACATGGGATTCACTTGCGCATTGCTGTTTGGTGTGTGTGTGTGTGTGTGTATGTGTGTGTGTGTCTGCGTGTGTGTGTGTAAGTGTGTGTGTGTGTGTGTGTGACGCTCGTGTGTTGCTGTCTATCATTGTGACGTACGCAGTGTGTCCGATGGCAGTGCTGTCGCAACACATGAGTCATCACGAGTCATGGGACAAGTCTTGTTGTTGGTCTCCGCTATCAAACATGGGATGTCCTTTGCGAGGTCGTCGCAGGCATCATCATCGCCAACCTGTGCGCCTCCAGACTGCATGGCGGGTGATGTTGACGTTCTAGCCAGGATAGCCCTTGCCTCCCCATCGGCACGTTCGGGGTCACTGTAGTCCAAGTGCGTCCGTGAATGTGTAGAAATGAAGCTGCCCCAGTGACATGGCTTCTGGCAGAAGCATCCCTGTAGGCGGGGAAGAGCTTATGAAGAAGCAAACACAGCCGCCTCAACATTAACCCAACAGCTGCTAGGTGAGCCAGAGTATATCAGGCACAGTGATTTGAAGTGGTTCCCTCGGGAAACTCCCATCACGACCGCACATCATCAGCATGCAGACGTCCAAGCAATAGTGCAGTTGGTCTGAGTCTCCACCTCCAGCATCCAAGAGGATAGCGGAGATCGCTCACACACCCGGGGACGGAGATTCAGCCTCTGATTTTGGATGCGCTTCCGCGTCACGGCGATGACACTTGTCTCTAGCAACTGGAGTGTTCACCTTGCATGCCTAGTAGACTTGCAGGTGTAGACTTCTCGCCCTCCGTTGGTCAGCATCCTTCTTCCCTTCCTGGCTCGAGAACGGACCCGTCTGCAAAATTACTTTTCTGAACCACTTGCAGGGAAGCATTGTGCCAAGAACTTTGCTGTGAAATCCTGATACTGAGTCTTAATCTTGCAAAAGTGTCATTGCTTGAACGATCAGCTTCTTTCGAGGATCCCGGACTTGCCTTAGGCAACGACATCCCGCTGAAATCATGCGATCATCATGAAACCGAAGGTCCGAGGGAACAGGAGAAAGATATTCGGAAGACATACAATCAATACAAAATCATGACAAGAGCAAACATCCGCTTCCTGCCTTTGCTCCTGATGCCGTGCAGCTGCTGCTGCTGCTGCTGCTATTCCTGCTCCTGCTTCTCCGGCTTCTCCTCTTCCTCCTCCTTCTGCTGCTACTACTGCTACTACTGCTACTGCTACTGCTCCTACTCCTACTCGTCTCCTACTCCTACCACTACCACCACTACCACCACTGCTACTGCTGCTACTACTACTACTACTGCTACTACTGCTACTGCTACTACTGCTACTGCTACTGCTACTGCTACTGCTACGGCTACTGCTACTACTACTACTACTACTACTACTACTACTGCTACTACTACTACTGCTGCTGCTGCTACTACTACGACGACTACTACTACTACTACTACTAATACTACTACTACTACTACTACTACTACTACTACTACTACTACTACTACTACTACTACTACTACTACTACTACTACTACTCCTGCTCCGGTATTGTTACCGCTACCGCTACCGCTACTGCTACCGCTACCGCTACCCCTACAGCTACCGCTGCTGCTGCTGCTGCTGCTGCTACTTCTACTGCCACTGCCATCGTCCGATCATCATGAACATGATCGTCAGCATGGCAATTGTCGTGACATCAGCCTGTCGACCCTTTGCGTGCGAAACTTCGGGTCTTTTGGTTTCACCAGGTACCGAAATCCAGCTTGTTCCTCCGGCAACCATCGACGGAGCTCGTTGGTAACTCACCGCCCCACCCTCCATTCCGAACCAGTCTAAACAGCCAAAATGCGCCGAA